AAACTTGCCAGCTGTCTACACTGGCCGTTTGAATTTCTGCAAGAACACTGACGATCTCATGTAAGATCGTCAGTGTTCTTGCAGAAATACTGTGCTGCTCCCGTTCGGGCAAAAGCCCTCTTACGCAAATCAGTTGCGCAAGAAGGCCAGTGTAAACAGCACAGTAGTGTTTTCCGCAAAAAAGCCCTGATCGCGAAAATGGCGATCGCGGAAAAGCGCGTCTAGATTGGCCACGGACGCTTTTCCGCAAAAAGTGCTTTTGCGGAAAAGCATCCTGCCAATCTAGATGTGCTTTTCCAAAAATGCTTTTAACAGAAAATGTTTCCATTAAAAGCATTTTCGGAAAATCATGCCAGTGTAGACGTAGCCCCAGTGTTTAGGTACCTCACTGAATAAAGAGTTAAAGAGGGTTTGACTTTGTGTTTAGGTTGTCCTCCCCTGCAGAGTCTGGGCCTGTCAGCTGACTTCACTTTATGGTAGGGTAATGGAGCAAGATACCTAGCAGCTCAATCAATGACTCGGTGCTGCTTTCTGTGTCTTCTTTCATATCCTTTCAAGAGCCTTTAATATCAAAAGCTTCTTGCTTTACAGACTGTGGGCTAGATTTCTAACGTACTTGGGCATTGCTACACCCAGCATTACAGTGTCTAACTGATTTAGGAGCCTAGATCTCATTTTAACAGGGAGCCTAAATCTTATTGATGGTTCATGTGGTTTAAGCTCCTAAATCCCTTTTGAAAGTGAGAGTTAGGGTCCTAAATCAGTAAGGTGTTGCAGTGCCAAATACAGTCATGGAACGCAATGACCTTGAATTGACTGCTCCTCATCATTCAAAGACCTTTACAAAAAGTCAGTGGTTCTCCAACTGAGGTCCGCGGATGCCTTGCAAGTGGTCCACGGCTTGAGCTCTCCTCCCTTCCCCTGGCTTCCCATTTGATGGGGAGGGGAGAAAGTCTTGAGCCTCTCCATTAGATCTGGCTCACAGGGAAGAAGTGGAGCCAGAAATGACTCGGCATGCTGCCACTCCCGCTCCCCGGGCTGGGGGAAGAGCAACACATGGACACTCTGCCTGGAAGCTTTCACCGCTGCTCCTATTGGCTGGAATCTGGCCAATGGGAGCAGCAGGAGGCCATGCCTAGGACACGCTGTCTGGGAGCAACATGGGGTGCAAAGGCAAATAGGTGCCTCCCTTCCCCCACAGGCCCAGCCAATGGGCCATCTAAGGACTGAAGCTTATTTGCAATCCAGACTAGGAGATTTGGCAGCTGGAGTGGGGCATATCTGAACACTGCCCCCAAGCCCCACCCTCTTCCCCTGGGATCCTGTCCCCCAAGGAACGCGACTTCAGGGATTACCATGGGGCCCTGGCACAGGGTGGCATCTGCAGTCAGGCCCCCCTGCAGCAACAGGTAACACAGGGAGGCAGAGTGAATGCACCTGCTGAGTGAGATCCACTTCCTAGTGGCTCCTGCTGCTGTGGAAAGTGCACGGGGAGGTGGGCGACGACTGCTACTGTCCCACGCCAGCCCTCCTCCTGGTCATCCCTGAGGCTATGTCCCTTGAGGAATGGGGTGCAGTGGCTGGAAGGGGCTGGGTTTGGTGGCCAGGTTCGGACATAATCCCTCAGGCTGTCGGGTCTCCTGGGCCAGACGGAGAACACGCTCCAGCCTATAGGTGTCCCATGGGCCAGGAGTTTGAGATCCCCAGGTTAGACAGGTAAGCCTATGGGTACAAAATACTAACAAAACCCACTTGCAAATGGACTGTTTTGTATCCTGGCATTCAGTTTCTATACCCAGGCTACGCCTACACTACAGGGCTTTTGCGCAAAAAAGTCTGCAGAGCGTCCACACCTCAAATGCATTTTTGCGCAAGTAAATGAAAAGAACAGAGGGGTTTTTGCGGCGTAAGTATTCCTCTTTCTACGAGGAATAATTCCTTTTTGCGTGAGATGTCTTGCCCAAAAAGGTGTGTGGGGACAGGCAACGGGGTTTTTGTGCAAAAAGAGCCAATCGAAAAAAGCACAGGTGCTCTGATGGCTATTCTGTGGATAGCAGAGCTCTCTTTCGAGAGACCGTCCATGCAGTTTGGATACTCTCTTGCATAAAAGTGCATCGCTTTTGAGTTGTGGATATGCTCTTGCACAAGAAGTTTTTGCGTAAGAACTTTTCTGCAAAAAGCTTCTTGCGCAAGAAGCCTGCAGTGCAGATGTGGCCCCAATGTCTACGGCACAGCAGAGTTTAACTAGCGCTCAGGAAAAACGTCCTAACCGTAAGAACAGTTGGACAATAGAACAGACTGCCCAGGGATGCTGCAGAATCTTCTTCACTGGAGACTTTCAAAAGGAGGCTGGAGAGCCATTGGTCTTGGATGGCTTAGACATAACAAATCCCGCATCTTGACAGGGGTTAGTGGCCTTTGTGACCCCTCCTAAGCCTAAAATTCTATGCCAGTACACAACGTGGAGTTTCAGCAGTAGCTTTTGTATGGAAATAAATCACTTCTTGGAACATCCCTCCATCTTCAATTTCACCCCCTCTGTTAAAGTTACACTTTGTCTGAGTTTATACTTTAGCAGGTCTGGAAAAAAAAAAAGCAGTTTGTGTTCTTTTTGTTTAAACAGTATGGTGAGGGCGGGGCGGGGAAAGTTTACTGTGTACATCTTTCGTTATCTAGTAAGCATTCCATCAGCAATTACAACATCCAAAGCTGCTTATTCACTTAGCTGGAAGCGCCTTGTTTCAGCATCGTCTTCTGAGTAAGGCTGTAACTAGAGCCTTCTTCAGATCATTCAGTAAGCACCACACTATTACATTCTCCCTACCCACACACACAGCCAACCACCTTCACGTTCTATGATCTGACTTAAAAACCAGCACCTCAATGGCCACAAATCACAGTGCAGTGAAACGTTATGCTGATTTCCAATAGGATGTAACCCATGAATTTCCTTGACAGTACCAACTCCGTTGGCTCTTTTTTGCTCTGATTCAGACTGGTTCAAAGACAAGTCAGATCATCATATGAAATTTTTCGGGGAAAGCCGTTTTCAGTAATTCATTTAACAAAATTAAATACAAATAACCAAAATAGCTATTCTTTGTTAAAAACAGCCTCCGCTTGTTCCTGCTTACTGTAAAATAGGAACTGGCTCTTTGGGGGTTAATGTAAATTATAGCCTATTTAAAAAACTGTGTTTTAACAGCACTCAACTCACAGTACACAATCCTCAAGTACAGGCAGTGAATAATTAAATGACGTTATTGGGGAAAGAGGCAGGATGTTAAATAAAAAAAAACCAGTTACATAAAGAACCAAATACATGCATGAATTTATTCTCTACAGCTATTCTGCTACATATTATTTGAAACGATTATAAAAACACTCAGAAAAAACAATTGTGTAAAGTTTTAGTGTAATTACTCAAGACAGAATTTTGAGCATATTAAAGATTCTGGACCTTAGCTTGAACATTTTAGATAAACACACAAGAATATTAGCTTAAGCTATCCACAACAAGGGTTGATGAAAAGGTACCACATTTACATTAAACATTTTTATAGATAAGGAATAAAATACAGCTGATTACCAGAGTCCACAGTAGAAGTGATTTCTCTGTTTTCCCCTTTCAACAATAATTGTATATATTGTAATCATGAATAACACATACTATTCACATTATTAAACCAAAGGCTAATTTTAATGGCATACTTTGGCACCCTGTGAAGACATAGCTAAGGGTACACCATAAAATACCCTTAGTAGCCAGCTAGCTAAGGGTACACCTGAAAATACTTTCAGGGTAACATTAGATTTGACTGGAACTTGATCAAAGTAGTAAATGAGCATGTACACTGTTAAAGTGTATTTTATGCACCATGCAAGTGTCAGCAGAGGAAACCTAGATCCTTTATATGACAATGAATCCACTCTAATAGAAAGATGCTCGATGTGATCCTCTGTTTTACTGTGAGAGAGTCCTCAGTTATATCAATAAAGAGTTAAATAATAATTTTCCATTCCCCATGTCAGTTGCTGGAGTGAAAATTCTATTCTTAGTAGAAGTGGGTTTTTTTGGGCAAGTAAATTATATAGCTAGAGTGTTAGCAATACTCAAGGTACCAAATTATTGATGGCTGTGGACGGATTGTAGTCGAAAAAGCTCTGAATGTGACTGATTGCAGCTACTCAGCAGCACGGACAAGTGTTGTAAATAACAGACTACTTTTTGTGCTCCTTCTCTATTGGAGGTCGACATATTAAAAAAATCAGTAATAATTGATTTTATTGTGTAATAGAAAATATTTTCAAATATTTTAGCCATGAATCCTAACATTTTAAGGCACTTGGATAGGTTTATAGCTGTATCCAAGAGAACCATCTCTAAAGGCATTTTCCAAAAGACTTTCCTCTGACATCCATGGAAGTTATGCCTGGGTTCAGAAACAGAGGACAGGCCCACTGGTAGGAGTCTTTGTGGTTGAATCCCTGAATGACTCCAAGATTGTTTTACAATGTGCCGAATTCTGTGCTGCCTTAACAACTAAAATTTCACTCAAATGAAAAATGTTAGGAGTTCCTAGGCTGGACAGACATTTGAGTTGATTTTGTTGCATATAAGGAATTATTGTCAGATGAGGTATCAAAAGCTGGTTTTGACATCTTTGAAATTCTACATCCAGTAAAAGTTAATACTCCATGGACTGGCAGTAGGGATGTTTGAGTATAAACGACCAAGCATTTAACTGAGATGCGGATGCTTATCAGTTAACAGTGTCATTTATCCTCAGCAAAGCCTCTTCCCCAGGAACCAGACCGGTAAGTCCACTCAACGCCCAGGGAAGAAGAGGTTTCACTGTGGGCTGAGCACTATAAAGCTAAGCTGCTTTATATTTGCAGAGCCCATACATGGATAACCATGTGACTGCTTGAGATTTTCAGCAGTTACGTGGCTACCCCAATACATGATTTTTAACATCCCTACTAAATAATAATAATTACTTTTGTGCTTAACATCAGTATACGAAGACAAAAACTAACATATAACAAATGCTATCAAATTTATTTCCAGCTACAACCAGGACTCAGCCAGCTATCTAAATACTCATTCTTCCAAAAGAAACCACTTGTCGTCATGCATCTTTCTGGATCTATTATGCTAGCATCCTTTACATTGTATTCTTGTTTTAAGTAATTATACAAGTGGAAACAGATGAGAAAATATTCCTGTCCAAGGAGTATCAGCACTTGATGTACTCAAGCAGAGCAAACCAAGTCACATGGGTCATTAGTTATCATCATCTTCAATAGGCTCTCGCAAACCGTCGCTCTGACGACTTTTTCCAGTCATTTCCAACAAGGCCTGAGCCTCAGGGTCTGTATCCAGGATGCTCTTCTTTGTCTTAAATCAAAAAGATAGTTTGGAATGTCATCAGATAGGTCAGGTCACAATTAAATTAAGCTTGAATTTCCAGAAGCTGGTTGGTCGGTTGTATAGATTGTTAGGATGAAGGTGCATGCTTTTCTAAACACAGAACAGATTCACAATCACTTCATACCATCCCAGTGACATGAGACAGCTTTATATTGTCTTAGCAGGCCAGGTTACTGTTTATGGTTGCTTTGGGTCACAAACCAGTCACTACACTAGAGAGAAGATCAACTCTCTGGAGGTCGATCTTCTAGCATTCAATTTAGTGGGTTTAGTGTAGACCCCCACCCCTCAAATGAAACACTGAGGGCAGCTCCTACTGGCATTGTGTACTGTTTCTTCTGTGAGGCGTCAGGGAAGCTGACAGGAGCACATGCTCCCATTGGCCTCCTGCAGTTCAGACTCTGTGGTGGCTTAGCTTCAGGTAAGCCAAATCCAGCTGTGCATTTTGTGTAGCTAGATGATGTTCCTTAAGCTGACCTGCCGGAACAAGTGTAAACCAGGCCTCCAAGCACACTGGTTAATTTGACCCAATATTTTAAGTGCAGATATGAACTTTTAAGTGATTCAAATACAATTTGACAATCTTCCTGACAGAGTAGGTCTGTTTCTATTTACAGCTGTGTGCTCACTGTATAGCTCTTGAGGACATTTACATAATGCGAAAAGAAAATATTGGCTGCCTAAAATAGATATATTGACAGGCACAACTCAGGAAGACTTACTATAGAGGCCCCAGGCTGGCCTCAGGAACAGAGAAACTTTCTACAGGTTGAACCTCTCTAGTCCGGCACTCTCAGGAACTAATGCGTACTGAACCAGAGAATTTGCCGGACCACAGAAGTCAATATTGTCGCGAGTGAGTGGCTCAAGGTTTTTTTGCAGAGGGGAATAAATGAAACAATACAATGTTAATGTATGATGGTACTGATATATCCTACATAAGCCTATCCCAAGTCATGGTTTATCCTCTCTCTTCATAACAAAGTGTTGGTGTTACATAATTTTCCTGTGTTGGCACAAGGAAATAAGTAGATAAAGCATAAAAACCATGCTTACAATTAGTAACATTACCAGCACTTCCACTGCTTGCTGGGCTCTTAGAAGACATCTGCAGTAAATTAAAGCTAAATAACAACACAGAACACTGAGAGCCAGGACTGGCGGCTGTAAATAAAATTTATGGGACCATGGGAAACTTTGATAAGCAGACATCCAGCTAACAAAAACCATGGGCGGACCACGGATGTTGTACAACCCTGTCAATGCACATCTTAGGCAATAAGATCTTCCCATTGTTCCTACTGAAACCAAGCCCCACAAAGACTTCCTGCATCTCCAACTAAATTATGGCTCTCTAGATCGCCTTCTCTCTAAGACCCCGCAATAATCCCACTCTCTCCTTGTAATTTACATGCTTCAACTATAGCTATATCTTTTAGAGATGTGTGTGTCTGTCTGAATCCATTTGTTCAAGAACCCCTCCAAAATGGGTAAAGTTAGGACCATTACATTTGGTATGCAGCTTTCTCTTATAACTTAAAGCCAGGCTGGGGTTTGGTTGTGCCAGGAAAATGGGATGTGCCTGGAATTTGATTGTTTTCCATCATATGAAAAGAGAGGGGGAGCTCTACTGCAGTGTGACCACTGGAGGCCGTCAACACCAGAAAGAAAGTGGCCAGCTTGGGCCTGGCCTCGCCATCTTGCCGGTCACCGGCCCAGGTAACTGGCTCCCCTGCCCCAAACCCCTTCTCCCAGCCCTTGGCAACAACGCTGGACTGGGTGGGAGCCCTGTTGCCTCCCTCCCTGAGCACTGCCTGGGTCAGGCAGTCCAGCTCCCCTCTGCCCCCCTTTCCAAGAGCCGCAGGCTGCCCTCCAGCCCGGCTGAGCTGCCTGCATTCCCCACCACCCTCTAGGCCAGGCCCTGGGAACGCTGGGTAAGTCTTCTAGTAGAATCGTACCATTATTAAAAGGATTGCAATAGCACAGCCAATGTTTCATAGAGACAGCTACAGCAGTCGTGGTTTGCTTCACTGATGCCTCTTCTTCCAGTTGGCATGTGTGTTTTAAGATTGCTGAAAGTACTTCGCTGCCATAGCCATGGGTGTTAAATGAGTAAAATGTGATTTCTCACAATATGGACAAAAAGCCAACCTATTTAAAAACATCTTAGAAATCTGTGAGAAATAGTCCCCTTCTATCTTTCCACACACAGGTTCATTTTGCCAACTTTTGAAACACCATAGTCACTTACCACTGAGCTTTCTGGGAGCTCTCCCACTGCCCACACCTCCATGCCATCCAGTGTGAAGTTTTCGTTAGCTGACAGCTGAGGGCTGTTGTAGGTGGTACATCGAGGTTTTGCTCTGCTGTGGCCCTTCCCATAGTCACTGTCTATCCAGAGCCCAAAGTAATCGTGCTGGCCACCCATGCCCTGTAGAGTTAAATAAGCACATTAAATATGTTTTACACACACACAAACCAGACACTGACCCAGGGCTGAGGGCTTTCCATTTTTGTGGCAAATTTGCAAAGCTAGTGAAATAAGGCATTTCAGATAAACCTGTTTACATACCCAAATTGAATCTCTGTGCATGCAATAACCTACCTTGCGTGTCTTGCAGGAGCATGACAGTTCTGCAGACACATCTGCTGTGCCTTGCCTGGAAATGTAACCTGCTATGCAGTCTAATGGCTATTGTTTGCTTGAAACAGGCCCATTTTAAGAACGCAATACCCACTGTAGCCAAGTCTTCCCATTTAAAGCAACAAGTAGAAGCTGATGTGGCTTTCTGTAAAGCAAGATTGTACAGGGATGCAACTTGGATGCAACAGGGATGCAAGATTGTACAGGGATGCAATGTTGACACGTTCAGTCTTAAAACATTTGCCTGCTTTGTTTAAAAGAACTGAAATCCATCATGGAGCTCTCCATGATGAGACCCTGCGTGGGGCTGAAACAGAGAACTTCTAAGGGGTAAGCACAGAGAGACAAGCTTAAACTTTTGAGCATCATCTGCAATTTCTTTGTGCCAGCCATGCATAAACTAGTAAAGAGAGTGGCAGTGAGAAAAGACTAAAGATGGTCATCTGGATCTTCATGCTTTAAATGTTGTGGACATGTCCACCAAATCTTCCAGCCAACAGTTTGGTGTGGCAGCATCTTGACGCTGCTGAATTTTGTTCCCAACCTAAGGATGGATTCTGCCCCTTAACTCCTCAAATCTTCACCCACACAAAGCCCAGTTACATGGGTTAGAAATGCATGAAATGGATTTTACTCTAAACAGCTTACTGTTTTCATACGAATATCAGCTGTAAATAGTCAGATAAACTGGCTTATCCACATAGCTACAGCTTTCATCTTCCTCTGAGTGAAGGTGTATTAAGGTAAGAAATCCTCATAATAAAAATGCTGAGCCAATACACAAGGTTAAAAAAAAAGCCAATACAATTCCCTTAAGAATAACACCATATTCCCCCTCTTCCCCTTTTCCACCCCGCCTTCCCTTAAAAGTCCAGATTGAAGAATAAATAATACTCCAGACATCTAAAGTGGGTTGTACCCACGAAAGCTCATGATGCCATTTACATGTTTTGTTAGTCTGTAAGGTGCTACTAGACCAGTGTTTCTTAAACTTTTTAAGACCGAGGAACACCAAAAAAAAAAAAGGGTCAGGGGAAAGTAATTGAGGGAAAAAAAGGCAGCCATTTTGAATTCTGTTGTTCTCGGTGGCACACCTCCAACTGCCTCGCAGCACACCAATGAGCCCTGGAACAAAGTTTAAGAAACATTGTGCTAGACTATTTGTTTAAGTTTTTCCAATTACAGACTCACTCGGCTACCCCTCTGAAGCTTTTGAGCATATACAATGTCTGCTTAAAAAGGCAATGAAAGAAATACAAACACAGACCAGCCATGAATCTGATTTCCAAACTGGCATGGCATAGTACTCACAAGTCCATTTGGTATCATTTGCTGCCCATGATTCAAGTACATGTAGTGGTCGTTATATCCAGTGTCCGTGTGCACCGCGAGAGAGGGAGAAACGGAAAACAAAAAGCACCTGTTGTCACCTGCAAATGGCAACAGAGTAAAGTGTCAGAGAGAAAACAATGGATGACAGTGTGACTTACTTCAGAGCAGCAAAACAGTTCAGAACAAGTGCTGATATGCCAGCAGAGTCAATATAGAGGCTTACTCCAGATTCAAAGCTAGAGTCTATTCTCTTACAACTGCGCAATATCCCCTGAAATCAACGGGACTGCATAGCTGTACGTGAGGGCATACTCTAGGAATCTGGGGTATGCCTGATTACAACGTAAGGACTGAACTACCCACAAAATATGCCTGGGTTCACCAACAGTCAGTTTTTCAACCCATTTAGTTAGACCACTGCAAACCCCGTATGTGTAGACACACTTGGTATTTACCATCTACAACTGGGATGTATCAGTAAAGCTTGATCAATGTAAACACACTTTTAGTTAAGTTTCATGCAGGCTTTGTACATAGAGAAGGCCTCGGGGTCTGGTGTTTCAGTGTTTACAACCACTCTTGTTGACACCAAGGATGTTAGGAGATGGGTAAGTTGCTAACGTTAGTTGACAGAATTTTAGCTCGCGCCGGGTCCGGGAGCTACCCCAACCACGGCTCTGAAGTTTAACTGTAAGAGCCGGGCAGACAGGCTACATTTAAATTCCAGAGCTGCAGCGGAAATAGGTCATGGACCCGCCGTGAGCCAGGGGTCCCAGCAAGCAGTCTCCCCTTACCCCCACACACGCTGCTGCCTCTGACAGACAGAGGCAGCAGCGCGGGGGGACAGGCAGCACCACAAAAGATGGTGCTGGGGGAAACTGGCTTTTAAGCTGGGGCTGGGAGCTAACCGTGCTGTGGCTCCCCCTGCTTATCGACTAGTCGAAAATTCCATCGATTATAGTTGATTGAACTAAATTTAACATCCCTGATCCCTCACTGACATCTGTACAAGCTAGGTGTAAAATGCCAACTAATCAGTATGCAGCACATTCTCTTTATCTTGCACAGAGATGTTTACACGCAGTACAAGACAGTGGTGAATCAGGCCTACATTTTCACAAATTAGGCCCAGTTCAGAGAAGTATGTGCTCAAGTAGGTTGCTGATTCAAGACGACTTCTACTACTACCCTCGGAGTGTAAGAAACTCAGCACAAACATGAAACGATGTCTTGGCCATATCTACACTGGAAGAGAAAGTCGACCTAAGACATGCAACGCCAGCTGGAGTTGACATAACTTAGGTTGAATTTCCGCAGTGTTCTCACTGTGGGAGGTCGAAAGGAGAAACTCTCCCATCCACTCCCCTTGCTCCTCATGACCCGGTGGAGTACTGGAGTCGACAGAAGTGCAATCAGCGGTTGACTTAGCAGGTCTTTACTAGACACTGGACTGACGCCCAGGAGATCGATCTCTGCAGCACTGATCTCCTGATAAGTAGGAACAAACCCTTTCATAGCATAATCCTGAACAGTTGGCAAGGGATCTAGACTGAAAGGTTAATTAACACCAAGAAGGTTTTAGAAATAAGTACTATGGAGTATATCAAGTAAATATATAACTTAGGGAGTTCTATCACTAAATGATAATGCTCAGCGGGGTAAGTTATCTTTTGAGTCAATGCCAACAGAGTTTCTACACTTGCACATCCATTTTCTCTGCAAAATTTCACACGGAGTCAATCAGATCAAATTGTGCTTGATTTAAGAGCTACCAGTTTAAAAGTGTTCCTTACAGTACAGTGTCAGGAATGTATATAACCTGCCAGCCATAACTGTTCTCTAAGGAGCAGATACTAAAATCAGTGGCAAGAAGTCTCATCAGAAAATAATTGTGACAATGCATAAGGCAAGCTGCCTTTAAAAACAATATAACTTGGTGTAGTGGGGCTGTGCCTCCCCCCACCAGGAAGAGGAGGGAGAAAGCAGGCCAGAGGAACCCTGCACAATTAGAGAAGGGCTCATTAAGTGAGCTAGTCGGGAGATAGCTTGTTGCGGCCAGCAGGGGCCGTAAATATAAGGCTAATTGATGACGTAGAGGCCAGTCTCTCCCGGGTCCACTAGAGGGAAGAACTGGCTGCCTAGGAGCACCAGGGCTAGAGCAGTGCTGGACAGGGTAGCAGAACCAAAATTGCTCCTGGCAGGAAGGGCAGATAAGGTACTAGGGCGACAGGGGAAGTAGTCCATGGAAAAGAGACAGCAAAGGACTCTGAAGAGGGACAATGAGTGACTGCCTGCTAGAGGATCCCTAGATTAGGACCTGGAATAGTGGGCTGGCCTTTGTCCCCCCTTTCCTTTGCTCTACTTGCCCTGAGGGAAGTGGCCACCACAGACTGTAGTTTGCCCCTGGAGCCAGGGATAAGACAGGTGACTGCAACAGGCCATCAGCAGGCCTGGCAGAGGCCACCAAGGCAAGTGGCTGGACTTTACACTGTAGGTTCCTCCAAAAGGGGGAGGCACAGTCAGTGGGTTGTGCCCAGAAGATGATGCTGTGGTCCCAGGAGCAACGTGGGTCAAAGAGCAACAAAGACAGCAAAGTGGGAGTAATGGCAAGTGACACACCAAAGGAGGGCACTTGGTGGGAAGACTGAGCTAATTCCCAGGACAGCCAGCAGGAGGCACTGCGTTGGGGAGTCCACCACTTTACAGTTGGCCATTTAAAATTCTTCAAATCATCTCCTCAGCTTCCGACCAACCCAAAGGTACTGACTAACCCACGTGATTAACTGGCATGCACTATATTTCACAAAACTAACCTGCTGGAGTGAAATACAAAAATCATATTAATCTTTGATATTTTTTTCTTCAGTTGCTTCTTTAAAAACTAAAATTTCCTGCTTCCCAAGTTTTGTAGAGGGAAAACAGAAGCTTCAGCTAGCCCGAGTGAGAGCTTTTAGATTCAAGAGAAACCCTTTTATTGTATTTTGAACAGGACCATAAATGTCCATCCATCCATATGCAGGAATATCCATTGGTTAGATTTCAACATACTGAGATAAGTTCTGCTAAGCTCCAGCAATGTAAATCTAGAGTCATTCCAGTGCAACAGAGCAGAATTTGGCCATGTGCACTAGGGATGTCAATGTGTAGATGACTACATGATTAACCAATAAGCCTGGGCTTATCGGTTAATCTTGTTGATTGCACACACTCCCCCCACTTGCTGCCTCTGTATTAGAGGCAGAAAGGCTGGGGGGAGCAGGAGCTGTTGCTGGTGAGGAGCTGGCTCAAAAGTTCCCCATGAGCATTGGATCAGCCTGCTCCCACACCCTTCCAAGGGTGAAGGGGATGGGCAGCGGCCCATATGCGCACAGAGCTGGCTGTCAAGCAGGCTCCCCATGCGTGCCAGCTCTGCGGACCTGCCTCCCTCCCCCCTTGCTGTCTCCTACAGAGGCAGCAGTGCGGGGTAGCAGAGGCTCCCTGGGAGTGGGGTCGGAATGCACTGGCTGCCAGCCCTACCCCCTGGGAATTATGGAATAGTCATGTAGTGGCTAAAATTTCATGCAGTTACATGACTATCTATCTAACAACACTAGTGTGTGTATATATTGGAACATATTTCACTATGCAGAGCAGTGGTTCTCAAAATGTAGGTCAGGACACCAAAGTACATTGCAACCAATGTTCCCTCTAATTTTTTCCATCCATGTGGAATACATTTTGCTATGTGCACTAAGGCAAATGCAGATGTGCACCACCCGTAGAAATTCACGCTGCCGGCTGTGGAGCTCTGCTAATCAGCTAGGTGGCTTCTGAATCTCTCCGGGGTGGTCAGCGCACACTTTACAAGGAACACAGGTTACAGACCCATTTTAATGCCGTCACTAGGGCTGGTGTTAGACTTGCTGGGGCCTGAGACACAAGACAAAGCTTGAGTCCCATTGCACAGGACCAAAGCTGAAGTTCTCAGGCCTGAGGCAAAGGAGCTCATGCTTTAGCTTTGGCTTTCCTGTCTGGGGTGGTCCAGGCTTCATTTCCCCCCTCCTTGTGGTTGTGTAGTAATGTTTGTTGCCAGAATGGGGTTGCGGTGTCATGACGATTAAGAACCCCTGATATAGACCAACAGCTGAACAAATGTAAGACTGCCATCTAGTGGACTCTTATTTTAATCTACTGAATAATGAAGCTTGCTGGACCATGTTCTTCTCTCAATTACACCAAGGGAGATCCAGTGAATAGAACTGAAAAGAGAATTTATTCGAGGGCATTTGTTCTGTGCTCAGTATGTCCTAGTGATTTAAAAATGGTCAATGAACAACAAACTATAAGCAATCACCAGTAACGGGTCTGAGTTTGCAGTAGAGCAGAAGGACTAGCCAGGTTTTAACCAATATACAGAATTACAATTTCATTCTGAATGTAAGAAAGAAAGCATCTCCTACACTTTAGGCATATGTGTTATCCCAGTGAAACTAGTGAGTTCAGGAAGTGGGCATAGAAAGTTATTTCTGCTGAACAACATGAAAAGCAACAGATACCAGGAACCACCCCTCAACAACCCTAGCGGCTACATTTTGCTTTTGTTAGAACAAGGATGGGAAACCTCAGGCCCAGGATGCTGTCTCCGCTTGATGAAGTGTTCAGTAATACATGCCCTGGTGCTACTCTAAACTATGGGATTTTTGCAGAAAAATAAAGAGATTCTTACCTTGAAACTGTGGTTTAACTTCCCATGACTGTGATGCAAACCCACCAAAGATATAGCCATCCATGTCTTTCAAGATCAATATACAGGGACCCTTGTTTATGATGTGCCCACACAGCTGTGAAAAACTTTCTCCATGAACCCGAGAAGAAAACAGAAGCCTCCACTTGTGCTGTAGCTCCGAAGGCAGGTGGGAATTGATGAATATGATGGATGGGATGTCAAGGAGACTAACAAATTCTCCTCCTTTGGTTCCCTTGCATTTTGGGACCAAACTGACTATGTCTTTAGCCTGATCTGGGAGTGAATGCAGGACAAGAAGCCCCTGTCTGATGATAACGCCGAGGAAAGCAGAGATCTGCGGAACTTGGAACACCCAATTCTCAATGGTACTTTGATCACATATGGCATCCATGAGATGAGATCCTGCGAGTTTCTTCCCATCTACATAATGAACACATTAACACAAGATAGCTGGTACATTTCTCACAAGGGATCTGCAAAGATGCTTATAGCCCCCAAGTCTACATCTTAAGGACTAAGACCTATGGTGAGAACAAGGAACTGGACTTGTGGACCTCTTGAGGACCTTGCCGGTTCCAGCATTCTGTGATCTTTCCCCAAGTATATGATTATTTGCCTTATTTGAACAAATCTTAAACTGCATCTGGAAGGAGCTAATACAGGTTGTACCTCCCTAAGCCAGGACTCTCTGGTCCAGCAGTACCACTGATGCTCCTGGGCCAGATAGCCCAGGGACAGGGATGCCAATGGCGGCCCAGGAGCCCTGCAGTAGGGAGCTCAGCTGGCACAGCCATGAGCCCCACTGCAGGGGCTCAGGAGGTGCAGGGAGCCCCACGGCAAGAGGGTCAGAAGTCTTGGGGCAGAGACATCTGTCTGCATCGCCAGGAGCCCTGAGGTTGAGGGGTCCGGCCAGAGTCAGCAGCACAGTCAGCTGAAGGTAGGGCAGCCAGGGTAGGAAGCAGAGCCGGCGGGAAGTTGGGAGGCCGGTGGCAGGGACTTCACCTGGCCTGGAAAATTCTCATTCATCCAGCAGATGCAAAGGCAGCCATGCAAGGATATAGATGCACCAAAACATCAGCATAAGCCAAGTAATTCTACCAGGGTGACGAGGTAAAACAAGTAGTTATAAATTTGCATGACTTCAAATGAGACTGAATTAGAAATTGACAATATCTTTTCCTTATTTTTTTCCTTCTCTTTCCTTCCCCATCCCCTCTCTTTCACTGCTATTTATTTATACCCTGGACCCCTTACTTCATTCATCTGAATAAGTGGGTTGTGCCCACAAAAGCTCATGATACCAGCTACGTTTTTTGTTAGTCTCTAAGGTGCTACAGGACGATTTGCTGTTTTTTTCAGTTAGGGTGCATCTACACTGAAAATAAGTTACGCTAGTTGAACTACACAAATTGCATATCTTATTTTGAATCAATTTTGAAATCTGAAATTTGGGGCATCTACACAGCACCAAATTTCAAAATAACGTGCTATTCTGAGACATCTCGAGGGTTACTGGGGTACCAAAAGATTTAAACACACAATTAACTTTATACCATGGAGGTTTCCGCTTAAATCAACAGGCCAACTTACGTGCCCAAATGTAAGCAGGTTTGCATTTTTAGGGTTGGGCCTAAGACGCTAAAAATGGCCATCAACTATTATGCCTTAATTTCTCTATTTGTTGCAAATCTCAGTACCAATAATTAAATATTGCATAATAATGAGGATCATATTGCTTTTTTATAAATTCCAGCTAATGTAAAAAGTTAGCTGTCAAAAGTCAGGGAAGGGTCTTTGGATGTGGTTTTTGAGGTACAAATCCAAGCCCTCCAAACTTAAATCTACAGAATTCTTGTTTTCTAGGGAATGGAACAATGCCTTCCTTTGCTAGTCTGTTACTGCCTGGAGCATAGGTTCCCAAACTGGGGGGGGCGTGGGGGGGTGAAGAAATTCCAGGGGGGGTGCGAGGCGACTCAACTTCCCTCATCAATTCCCCCTCCCCCTCGAAAGAGCTCGGTCCATCCAGTAAAAAAAATTCAGAAAATACCATGTGAAAATGGCTGTCTTAAAAGGGCAATGCCTTAAAACTAATAAAAGAAGGTTCTTCTTTACACAACCTGTGGAACTCCTGGCCAGAGGAGGCTGTGAAGGCTAGGACTATAACAGAGTTTAAAGAGAAGCTAGATAATTTCATGGAGGTTAGATCCATAAAAGGCTATTAGCCAGGGGATAGAATTGGTGTCCTTGGCTTCTGTTTGTCAGAGGCTGGAGAGGGATGGCAGGAGACAAATCGCTTGATCATTGTCTTCAGTCTGTCGCCAGACAGGCTACTGGGCTTGATGGACCTTTGGTGTGACCCAGTACGGCCGTTCTTATGTTCTTACGTTCAAAACAGCGCGCCCATTATTTCGAAAAATATTTCGAAATAACGGGCGACTTGTGTAGACATGGAGTAGCTATTTCGGGATACCTCCAGTATCCCAAAATAGCCATGCAGTGTAGATGGACCCTTACAGACTAACACAGCTACCCCTCTGAGACTTGCAAGAACAGCTGACTCTGAACAGATCTGTACCATTTTGGCATAATTTATTGCAGTATTTTTGCTGCTTACCTTGCAGTTTCAGTTCCGATAACAGCTGAGAAGCCAGAGCCTTTACTCCCCTGGCAGGATCTTGAGTCTTCTCCGGATTCCAGCCTGCCAGCAGATTCCTGTAGCTCAGCACATGAACTACAGAGGTGATCAGATCCTCTGTGAACTTCAAGGGCATCATATTACCATAACTACCTTAATTCCATATTTCAAAGAAAACTGCCAAGAACTTCACAGAGCACCCCACACTGTGGCCCCCAAGGACATCGATCAGTGTTTATCACAGTGGTCTGGGCGATCTGCACGGTTTTGCTAGATGTAAATATTATAAATAATATCTGCTATAGTTCAGTGTCACAAATACTCAGAGTTCTCTTTTGTTCAGCACGCTTCCCCCCAAGGATCTCCGGTATAAACCTTAATTCTCCATCATGCTTCCATGATTTAATAACGATTAAACAAGCTGTACATATGGGTAAACTGGGAAGAAACAGAGGGCCAGATTGTAAATTACACTGCCTGCCTCATCCTTTTCAGTTTGTGCAGCCTGTTCTCCCTTTGAGCTACTCTGCACCTCTTTTGGGGGTGTGAACCTTGAGTGTGCCTCGAAGGAGCAGGCCATATTAGGGATGTTAAAAAGAGAGTAATCAGCTAATTGTGTAGTCGACCACATTTCTATCGATTAGTTGATAGGGTTAGAAGCCTCCGGGAACTACCCCCCTCTGCGGCTATGCAGTTTAAATGTAGTAAGAGCTGGGCACACAAGCAGCCAGGCTCCTACTTCATTTAAACTGCACAGCCACAGTGGGGATAGCTCCTGGATCTGGCGCAAGCCAGGACTGAGTCAGGCTGGTTCGGTCCCGGCTCGCGCCGGGTCCAGCAGCCAAACCCAAAGGTAGCAAAACAGGCTGGGCAAGCCCGATGCAGCATCCCAGCGCTTCTCATTTAACTACCACCCCCCACCCTCCGCCTTTCTGTCCGGGCCCTGGCAGCTGGGGGGATCCTCAGCAAGTGCCTGCCCGCTAGGCACATCCTGGAGCCAGGAGAGAAAGCTGAAGGACTGTGGGCTGTCTGGATAGGCTCCGGGAAGGCAGCACTAGGTCAGCGGAGGGGTGCCTTGCTGGAACGAAGCCAACGCTATTTATTTCCCTAGGAGGGTGGGGAAGCACTGGTTTGGGTTCCCTAGGGAGGGGGTGGAGTTTCCATCCCTAGAGGTTTTTAAGTCCCAGTTTGACAAAGCCCTGGCTGGGACGGTTTAGGTGGGGTTGGCTCTGCTTTGGGCAGGGGGGCTGGACTTGATGGCTTCCTGAGGTCTCTTCCAGCCCTAGGATTCTACGATTCTATTTCGGAACGAGGGCTTCCCATCACACGGAGGCTGCACACTGGCTGCCCGACACATTGAGTAGCAGCTCCCAGGCACCATGCAGGCTGGGAACAGCGTTACTCCTCATGTAAAGCAGGACTACAGAATTCAAATTTCGTTGCTCCTTATTCCAGAATAATAGGCTTGGTAGTGTGGACGCATCACTTAGAAAATTGACTTTGGGGGGCTAATTTCGGACTAAGGGCCTTATGTAGCCCAGGCCTAAGGTGCCACCAGACTACTCATTGGCTGTGTCTAGACTGGCAAGTTTTTCCGGGAAATCAGCCGCTTTTCCGGAAAAACTTGCCAGCTGTCTACACTGGCCGCTTGAATTTCCGCAAAAGCACTGATGATCTCATGTAAGATTGTCAGTGCTTTTGCGGAAATACTATGCTGCTCCCGTTCAGGCAAAAGTCTTTTTCCGAAAAACTTTTGCGCAAAAGGGCCAGTGTAGACAGCAGAGATTTGTTTTCCGCAAAAGAGTCCCGATCGCGAAAATGGTGATCGGGGCTTTTTTGCGGAAAAGCGCGTCTAGATTGGCCACGGACGCTTTTCCGCAAAATGTGCTTTTGCGGAAAAGCATCCTGCCATTCTAGACACGCTTTTCCGAAAATGCTTTTAACGGAAAAGTTTTCCATTAAAAGCATTTTCGGAAAATCATGCCCGTGTAGACGTAGCCATTGGTTTTAAAGTTACAGGCTAACACGGTTACCCCTCTGAGACTACCTCCCCAGAACATTTATGAAAACAAAATCCAAAGACACACACATGAGTTTTTTTCCTTTACCTCTTGGATTTGTTTTCCCACCACAGGCCCTTCAGTGCTAGATATCATTCTCATTATTATGCCGCTCTTTTCCTCTGCATTGCCTTTCAAAAGGGCGGACATAAAAATAACGAACTGCTCCTTAACAATCTGTTCACTTGAGCCAGGTGACTTCCCAGTCAGGTCAACACAATTCATTCCACTGTAGAGCCGAACGGTCATTTGCGCTGGCAATGCTTCCTGGACATGGGCCTGCCAGAGACAGAAGCGTTAAGGACAGATTTTTAATGAAGAAGAACAAGATTTCTATATCCAGCTAAAACAGTCCAGCTACCCTATGCCTAGGTGTACTGAGGGGGGGCAATCAGTTTCTAATATCTAACTTTTTATATATAGTAGAGTAAAACCCTCATAGAGGATCAAGCCAAGAAAGACAGCATCATATTTGCATATGAAGGCTAATCTCTGTAGAACAAAGACCTGAATGGGCCATTATTATAAAACCAGCTTTCCTTAGGATCAACACCCAATTGACACCAAAAGCTAAGTATGGGACACTTCCAGCCCACTCAATTAGCCTCATTAGCACCAGCACTACAATTGACAAGCACCTCTCTCTCCCCCTCCCACCCAACCTTCTTTTTCTGTTATAAGTTGTGAGGGTCCCCCCTTTTCTCTTCACTCTGCTCATCTGATGACGTAGGTTTTGCCCACGAAAGCTCATGATACTCTCTCTATATTTTTGTTAATCTCTAAGGTACCACGGGACTACTGGTTTTTAAAGTTACTGACTAACATGGCTAACCCTCTGGGACTACTGGAAACTCTGGGGATCCTATGAAGTCATTGATGATGATGTTGATGGGGACCACCTCTTTCAGACGTGATCCTCTATGAAGGTTTTACTCAAATACAGGGTTGGGGAACCTTAGGCTGGGGGCTGGCTGTGGCAACCTGCTTGTTTGGATTTGGCCCCCAAGGCTTAGGTCTCCCCCTGCCAAGCACTGGGGAGCTCATTCTGGCGCTCCAGCCCCCACAGGGTTGGAGCACACAACATCTACTAGCCTGGGCCCCCTGAGCCCTGGTGTGCAATGGGAATGTGAGGAGTGTCTTTCTCCTCCTCAGTCGGGAGTCATGTCATTAAGGGTCTGTTTTATTTTTTTGCTTCTTACTTGTGTGCGGCCGCCGACCCAAAAAAGGTTCCCCACCCCGCTCTAATATATATAAAACGTTAGATATTCTGAAGAGAACTAATTACATTACATTACAAGGCTCTCTTGAGAAGACACAAAATAGCAATGCCTATTTTATCCCTCATCACATCCATTCATTATTATTTGTACGATAGTAACATCTAAAACCTTGGGCTAACGTCGAGTTAAAATACCCAACTTCAGCTACATTAATTGCGTAGCTGAAGTTGAAGTAGCTTAACTCAGCTTCAGACTCTGTCTATCCAGCAGGAAGCTGAAGGAAGAGCTCTCTTCCTTCTACTTCCCTTACTCCTCGTGAAATGAGGGTTACAGAAGTCGGAGTAAAAAAAACCCATTATTTCACAATTATTTTGAAATAACGGACTTGCTGTGTAGATGCGCACTCTTATTTCAAACGTGAGTTATTTTGAAATAAGCATGCAGTGTGGACATAACTGAAGTGTGCTAGGCAGTGTAAAACTGGGAATAACAGTAGCTGTCCCAAACAACCTTAGGACAGATTTTTAAAGGAAGGTAGGTGCTTTTGAAAAAAAAATCACTCTGGGCAGCTCTCTCTTCATTTTTAGGTGTTAAATACCTTTTAAAAACTGGCCCTCACAATGTAAGAGTAGTTCTACACCCGTTGTAGCATGTGGAGTAAAACATTGCACACTCAGCTAGCATGGGTTTAAAGTAGAGAGGTAAGAGCTTATTGGTTACCAAAAAGGTTACACATGGCTCCCCGTCCAGCACCCGGGGAGCCGCCCCACACTGCTGCCTCTGTATCCCGCCTGCTGCCATTTTCAGCGGCTACACAGTTAGCAATCTAGACACATTTTAACACCCCTAGTTTAAAGAGCGGTGTAGGTGGTGAGGTGCGGCTTAGGCAAGCAGAGCAGAAGCACACGAAAACCTTAGGGCAGATACCCTACGTGACTCTCTTCAGGCCACATCTGCACTGCTATTACTAGCGGTGAACTGTTCCTCTGATTCCTCCCTCCAATGCCATTCCCCATCACAGGGAACGATTCTGGCAGTGGGGAGAGGCTCTA